AAAAGCCTTGAAGAATATAGATTATTATATGAGGAGCACAATATAGAAGGAGATTTGTAGGTGGGGGGCACAGTTAAAAACCATCTTTTATGTAACATGTAAAGAAGTAGTTGATTGAAGCATTTAAAAACTCTAATAGGTATGCTTGGGCATGAGCAATGAGACCAGATTTTTGTGTTTTTTGTTTTGTTTTGTTTTTGAGATTTGGTCTCACTCTGTTGCCCCGGCCAGAGCGCAGTGGTGCCACTATAGCTCACTGCAGCCTCCAACTCCTGTGCTCAGCCATCCTCCTGTTCCCAGTAGCTGGGACTACAGGTGGGTGCCACCATGCCTGGTGAATTTTTTAAAAATTTTTTGTAAAAACGGGGTCTCGCTATTGCTCAGGCTGGTCTTGAACTTCTGGGTTCAAGCGATCCTCCCACCTAGACCTCCCCTAAAGTGCTAGGATTGCAAGAGTGAGCCACCACGCCCAGCCCTGTATTTGTTTTTAAGAGAGAAAAGTATATCAAGAATAATCAATAAGACTAGGAATTGACTCATTAAATATGAAGTACCGTATTTGTGGCAGAGGATAACTTTGACACTAATAAGTCATTTATGATTTTTCCTTTAATGTCTGCAGCCCTATAGATTTTTGGAAAAAAACAAACTTTAAAAATCCCTGTATTTAGGGACAATGGATAAAATACTTTCAGAAAATGAGACATTTCAGTGGAAATTCTTGCCTAATATGTCACCACTTTGAAAATGATTAAAGAAAATGGAGTTTCCCCCCAGTGGAGGCAGGTACTTTGAGTTGTCAGATTTAAGTTGGACGTTTTCTCTTAGTTTGGAACTGCCACAAAATGAGCCCTTTCATGTCCTCAATAATACCAAACCAATGCAATCCATCTGTTCTGCTAAATTATTTCTAGTTCCCTAACCAAAAGCACTGCTTTTTCATGCATTTTATCATGATTTTATGCCCTTTATTATATTTTACAAAAGGTTCTGATTCCTCCAGGGCCAATGAGAACTGATTAGGACACTGGCCTCAATCCAGGCTTTGAACACAGGAGGGGAAGGAATAGAACTGTTTCCTTTTTTCTCTGCTCCTTGGCAGAAAAAACTATGAATCTATACCGTGTGTGTGCTCTGTGTGTGGGTGGGTGTGGGTAGGCTGCATTTTATCCTGTCATAGTAGGACTTTGTAGATCATGTTCAGAACATTCCTTCTATAATCAGGTTGCATTAATGGGCTTTATTTCAGAAAGGCCATTTCGTTAGGAAAGAACCATGGTGTGTTGTGAGACTCAATGATGTGCTTATTTTAAATGACATTAGTCAAACTTCCAACCTGAATATAGACTGTTTGGGGCTTTGAACTCAATATGATCATATTCCTAAGCTTGGAGTAAGCACTCGCGAGCATCAGCTCCTTTTCTACTCTCAGGCAGGAAACTGAGTACAAGTCACAGAGAATGATAATGTAATAACACAATCCTCCATCACAGAGTTTCTTTACGAAGAAGATGAAAGAAGAGCTACAAGCTTTCATTCCTATGCCTACATGGGTAAGGTATTTAATATTTGGGTCTCAAGTGAGAAATTCTCAGATGAAATCCATTCCTTATTTGCATTGTGTGTCTGTCCCAATATGCTCAGGATTCTCGAAACTCTTTTTGGTCAGAGTATCATAGCTGACCGCACGTAGACATCCCGCAGACCAAGTATCTCTGAGAACGGAAATCAGCATCTCCCTAAATTAAGATTATCAGAGAACTTTATCCTATTTTTTGACTCATTATGCTATTGACCTTTGACTCGAGAGAACATCTTGAGAGAGAAATGAAGGAATAAAGGGCACACAGGAAATAGAAAATATGGCAAGGGATTAAGCGGGAATATCTATATTTAAGCCTAAACAAATAAAATACTAAACTACTGATGATAATACCAGAAAACTGCAACTGTTGGAGCTCTCTGTATAGGAGGAAAAGTTGAATGTGGCAAATTTAAGGCATCTGATAAAGTGAGGTAAGACTGATCTACTCTAGGAGACCTTACATGTCAAGAAATAGAGAAAGCTGTTGCTATTTCAGAATTTTTAGGTTAGCCAATATTCCATAGAAGTGTCTCTGTGAGATACAGATCTCACAACATGCTTTTTCCAGATCCTACCTCCAGGTAGAAGCATTTTTTTTTGTACTGAATTGGTTTTCACTGCTCTCTTTTTGTAGAAACATGTGCACTATGTTTATGGGGCTTGTTCTCTAGCAACCAAAGAAGCAGAAGGTGATTGCCAAGAATGAGTACTTCTTTATATTTAGTGCAATTATTTTTAAAGAAATATTTATTATAGTAATAAGAAGAGCCAATGTAAAATACTTGCTTAGAGTCAAAAGGAAGAAGAGGGAGAAGGGAAAAAAAAGCAGACAACAAAGTGAAAACTTATGAATGGTGGTACATTTTAATAATGAGGGCAATGGCTAGAGTATAAACTAGAAGGGGATGTTCTTAGAAGTAAGCTCTAGGTAGCTGGCCCAGATGCTCTATCCTTACCGTTGGCTGACTCATTTTACACGAGGGGATGTCTGACATTCAGCAGGTGTCCTCTTACGATTTTTACCAGCATTTGAACTGCTGTCAATTACAGTGAATCTTGTTAGCAGATTATTGTTCAGATGTGTGATTGAGCATTCAGCTGGAATGCCAGAGGAGTTGTAGAGGAATGAAAAAAGGAGTTGGGATGATATGTAAATTTACGTGACTAATGTATGAAAACATAAAGATGTATTTATTATTAATGGTATTTATACTATGCCAGAAGCAAAAATTCAACTTAGAGCTGAAAAAAAAATCTTTATAGAAAAAGAGAAAGGGAAAAAAAATTGAGGTTTTGTGCTACTATTCAGAAACGTGGGTCTATTTGTTAGTTATATCACTGACAATGTTTTAAGATATTGATGTTTCACTCTACCAGCTTACGTATGTTAGTGGCTATGGGTTTCACAGACCCATAGAAAGGAGAGCTAGAAACTCTGTTATTTCATGGTGTTCACTATTCTGCCAGACTAGGATTGGTTGCCACAGTCTGTTTTCCAGTGTCCTGCTCAGTCCAATTTAGATGACTCAAACCGTGGAGTTACCACTATTTATCTTGGGGGATTTTCCACCCGCTGAAATCTCTCAGTTGAAATGTTTCCCTTTAATGTTGACTTTGAACTTTCTCCTGCTCATTTTGTCTCTTTACTTGTCATTCTGCTACTTTGATTGTTCTGGTCTTCCATAAACTTTTCCAAATTTAATGTTTATTTGCAAGCTACCTAGTTCAAGAAGACGTTTGTTTATTAATCGAAAAGATGACATTATTAAATCTGCCTTAGTTTCCAGCATTAGAATTTTTATCTTACCTACTTGGAATGATTTCTTTAAAGCATATCTTAATTCTTTTTAGAAATGTAAAATTGGGTTACACAATGTTGTTTTTTGCTGGTGTCAAAAACAGGGTGCTTCAATGCTATGGAAAGAAAATTCCATAAGTATGTTTGTTTATTCTGCACGTACAGGCAGTGTTAAGGAGATTCCGCCTTCATCATTCCCTTCCCTATAGTCTTACATCATTCCTCCCTCACTATGACCTGGTCATTTATTTTCAAAGACAGGCTCAGTAAATGCTAAGGAGGTGTCAGTACATCGAAGTTTTTCCAGCCTGCCTCTTCAGTGAACCACAATCAACCTCACAGAGTCTGGCAGCAGCCACATCACCTTAAACCAGAGAGGTTGAACATGGAGTTGCCCTGGTCCTGAGGGAGATGTTTTTGTCACCTGAAGTTTCTAAGTCAACTGGTGGTTCCTTGGTTAGGAATATGAGAGTCAAACATTTCCTGAATGGATTCTTTTTAAATTTCCCTGTAGTTACGCACTTAAATACTAACTTACTAACTACTGCCTTGCAGTAGTATATATTTTAGGCAAAATATTAATACTGTCTGTATAATTTTAGGAAGCACAGTAATTTCCAAAAGTTAAGGTTAATTAACTTCGTATACCAGCATGATGTTAATCGGGCTCAGTTGTCTGTGTGCCAAGTGAGAAATGTAGCCAGGAAGAACACTTTGCATATTGGCTAATTGAGGTTTAGGTTAATAATGTACGTGTTTGGCTGTGTTGAAGGACCATTCTTTGTTAGATAGAGTGAAAGTCTCTGCCTAGGCTGTGTGTAAAAAATTGATTGAGTCTAGAGTGTCTCAAACTACCTCTGGTTAAACAGCAGGTTTTGTTTTTGTTTAATTTCCAGTCTGTCACAGACTAATACCTTTATAAAGTACTTTAAAAATGAAATACTGCAAAAGTGAAATAAAAATTGAAGACCCATACAGTATTATTAGATTGTATTAGATTCAAAAGACATAAAACTACCGTCAAATTGCCATAAAATTTCTAAATATTTACTGTGAATTTTTATGCCAACCTCATCACAGACCATTGATAAACAAATCCTAAACTGTTATCCACCCTGTAGAACACTTGGAGAAACATCAAGACTAACACTACTGTGAGGTACACGCGTGAAGTGATTAGCCTATGTATGATCATCATATAATAGTATTTACTTAGTTCCTTTAGGAAAGAACAAGGAATTTGTTCTAACTTCTTTGGATGAGTGTAAAATGAGGTTGTAATAACTTTTACTTCTCAGCCCCTGTTTGTTTTTAAGCTGATAGCTTTACAAAAGAATTAACTATTAATTTCTTTGTTCCAGATTTCTTTTTTAATGGCAAAGAAGAATATACTCTCTGTCAATTGCCCGTTTAGGTATAAGCAATCCATTGGATCCGAACCTTGCGTGCACTAATTTTTCAAATATTATCGTGGTACTTTCCTAAGCAAATCAGTGTCACATTCCTGCAGTGATGAAACTCAGCCCATTATTAATCTTTGTAAATGTGACTCGGGGTCTCATTTTCTTCTAAATTGTTGTCAGTGGAGTACTGTAGGCTTCTGCTGTTTTCTTTCAGCGAATTCAAGGTCGAAAAGCCAGCCTGGAGGAAATACAGCTTGTTCATTCCGAACATCACTCACTGTTGTATGGCACCAACCCCCTGGACGGACAGAAGCTGGACCCCCGGATACTCCTAGGTCTGTACGGGCTCCCATTCTACTGAGAACAGCACATTCCAACACTGTCATTAGTCAACGCTGGTGTCAGTTGAAAATACTTGGCAAGCAGTGTGACAAAAAATCAGTTTTTCCAACAGTGTTGCTCTGTGGAATGAGTCGTTTACAATAGAAGCCAATGCAGATTAAGAAAATCCTGCATTAGAAATTGCCAGTGTATGTTCCATGATGTTTACTTTAAGATGAACCTTTATTTGAATAGCATTTCTAAGTGTGTCTTTGCATATAGGAAGAAATACATTGCTGAATTTGTTTCCTTATGTTTTTACACTAAAAGAAAAAAAGATTTTCACATTCTTTATGCAAATTTATCTTCACCTTTCTTGTTTGTTTTGTGTCTTTCAGTTCTCTCTTCTATGAACTTAACAGACAAAGGGAATAGTACAACTTATTTTAAGTGAAAATCCTTATTACTATGCCCAGCACACTACATTTTATAGTAAGATTTAATTTAAAATCTTAATGTAGTCTATTTAATATAGGCCTTACCTATGGCATTGAATAGTACAGTAAATGGCAGAAGTAGAAACCTCTTAAATATAATTTTTTATTAATGTAAGGTTTCTCAAAATTTTATCATCAGAATTTAAAATAAAATTTATGTTGTAGAGCTTTATATAAAGTTTATGTGAGTGATAGAAGCAACAGATTTTTGGAAAAATATTACTGACAAAACATTATTTTAGCTGAAGTAATTATATTGTTTTATTAATAACCTTTTATAATTGAGTAACAATACATAGCATTCAATAGATGATGACAGGATTATGTTTTGAGCTTTAACTAAAAAAGGCACTTTAGAACTTTTTCTTTCAAATAAACCTGTTGTGTCAGTTTATCAGTTCCAAATTATTGAACTTCTTCACCTAACTTAATATAATTTCAAAATGGTTTTCTGTTAATTGGTCCTAAATAACTCCAAAGTAAGCAGTATACAACATGTTAAGTTGGTAGGTATCTTGGAAAATTATTTTAAGGGGAAGTTGATAAATACCCATTATGACACTTACAATCTTCCTTTTAAATATGAGTGGGAAGCATCCCTGAGTTTATGAAGTGCAAGTATATGGGTATACGTGTGTGCCTGCACATACATGTAACAGGGTAGGTAGTTATAGTTTGGGGAAAGGAGTCAGAAAGGGTAACACGCAAAGACTACTCCATTTTTAGAAAGCACATTGCTAAAATCTGATGATGAAAAACAATCTATCCAGTAGAAGTAAAGTTATATATTGAGATAAGTACAAATAGATCAGTCCAAACATATATACTCTGTATGTTTTTTTTTTCTCTTCTGTCTATTGAAAGAAATGGTGACTATATATGCAGATACTTTACATAAATATTTTTGTTGTGGATACTGTGTAATAAATGTTCTTATTTAACATTAATTAATAATCCCACCCAAATAACCACAAAGATGAAGTAAATTAGACATTTTAATTTTCATGGTTTTATAAGGTCAAGATACTCAAGCATTTAAATATAGGAAACTGGGTCCATGTGATTATTTTTTAATTTAATTAAGAGCAAACAAGTAACAAATCATCCCCATTTTTTTAAAAACTATGGTACCAAAGTATAAATCAACCCAGGCATACATAGACTAGGTACCTTTGAACTTTACTGGAATAGTCTTAGGTTGATCAAATTATGAATATCAACAGAAATTGACCATGTATCTCATTAGTTTTAAATATTTAATGTCAAATAATTGATGTCTTACAATTGATGACTTTAAAGTTAGCGTTCTATCCACATACCAAGTCTCATAGACTCCTCTTAATGATCAGTGCTGTAATTTCAACATTGTGTGTAGGCTACGTGAGCTCAGGTAAACAGGGTTGTAGCATTTGGTCAGGCTTTGAGGTCAAGCACTAACTTCAACTTTGATAACACTTCCAAACTACTTCAATTTCTCTGGTGAATACAGAAATTTAGCTGATTTCTTCAATCCCAGTTCTAAGTGAGTAATCCCATTCTTTTAAAAGGTTAATTTTTCGTACCTCTGTTCTTTGTGAAATTTAGATTCTTGTGGCTTCTTTACTTATATCTAAAAGCCCAGGTTGAAGCTGCCATGTGTAAATGTATAGAAATCCATAATTATCAAGATATTTTTTCTTTCTTCATTCATTCCCTTCAGTCCCATACATCTCACTACCTCCCCCAAGTTCTCCCAACACAGATGGGGAATGTCTTTTCTGAATTATATCCATACTACTACTCTTAGTATGTTTGTTCTAGAGTTAGGAGGAAGGATTTGAATAAAAGTGCAGTATAACCAGACCAATTAGTCTTTGTGGCTTGAAAGACATCTATATATTATAAAATAATTAGATTTGAAAATGGGCATCATTTATCTATTTAAATACTCTAGATTCTATAAGGTGACACTTTAAAAACATTCTCTCTGATTATTTCTGGTACAGGGTTTTCCTTAGCATTAATATTCCTGTCGTTCTTATTACTAGTTTCCATTATCTTGTAGCTAGCCAGATTTCAGTCCATTGATAAGGGAATATAACATAATTAAAAAGCAAATCGAGTCAATTCAGTGAGAAAAATTTCTTGTGCACTACTAAATTTAAATGATCAATTATTTGCTTGTTTTGTATGATATTAATATAACATTACTAAATAAAATTCTCATAAGTAGGATGTCTTTATTTTTCTAATTCTCTTAGGGTTTAATAATTTTTGTAAATTACTTCTAAAAATTATTTTTAGTACATTATAATATATTTATCCGTTTTCATTGACTATGAATGAAGAATTCAGACATTAAAATATATATATATATTTTAATTTCACAGGTGACATATGAATTTGCTCTTGGAAAATACTCAAGGATACAGAAATATCTTTGTTAAAAGCAACAATATAAGAAAACTTTACCCCTCTCTATGCTATCCAGACATTTTTTTATGTGTCTTTTACCGGTGCCAGTATTCCAGTTTTAATATTATTACATGATTTGTATATTTTTTCTGTTGACTTCTCATCTTTTTTATGAAGATCTATGTAACTAGATGTCTTCATTTGCATTTTTCTTTATCATTTTCCATCTTTCAGTAATTGCATTTGAAAAACCTACTCCTACAATTTATTGTTTTCAAAATAAACTTTTTTTTGTGTGACAGTAAAAGATATTTAGACTTCTAGTAACATGGCATTCCACCACAAAGCTGTTTTCAATTTTAATTCTTAGTATCATTGATCATCAACAGGACAAATGAGTGAAATAGGAAAACTGGAGGTTTGTACCTGGTTCTACCACTGACCTGCTGAAATGACCTGGGTTACTTCAGAACCATCTGGTCATGAGATAGAAATGTTCACTGCCTTTCCATTCAGCTTCCTCACCGGCATATTTTATTTAGTGTTAGAGGTTTAGGAGCAGTTACTACTATTTCCTCTATTATGTAATAGATAATGTTGAAAATAAAAGGGCAGGCAAACAAAATAATTACTAAAAGTCCTATAAAATATCAGTTCCAAGAGACAATCACAATTAAGATTTTTGCATATATTTTTAAAGATTTTAAAATTCATATTGATATTATATGGAGCCCCAAATGGGATTATTCTTTCATAATAATTCTTTCTCAAAAGTGTCTTGCTTGAACAACTGTGAATGTTAGAGAGGTTTATGGTGTACTTGGCTTTAGCTATATCTTTAGTAGATGTAGCTACTTATATTAATAGCTAAGAAATTAAGAATAAGTCTATACATTTGAGAAGCTATTTTAAAATATGAAATTAAAAAAAAAATGACAGTGTATGGCGTCATAAACCTTGTGGCTCAAAAGATCCCATTGGAGCAACATACTCAGTGAATAGCTGAGTTCCTATAAGTTATACATTTAAAAATTATTATATATAGTATGGATATGTAGGACAATTTTTTAAAAATCTTGTAACTCAAATCTCATGGGCACATACTTGTTCTTGTGGAGCAACAGACTCAATATGTAAATAATATTTGTATTGGTTTGTTTTGAGTTCTAACCTGTGTATACATATAGATAGAAAAATTCTGAAATTTAACTCTATTGAATAATTAATCTACCATTTTATCAATTTCCTTGAGTCAAGTGATAAATACCATTTGACATAATATTATATGTTAATAAATACCAAACTTTTAAAATTATATTTATACTATAAATTTATATATATGTATATATATATATTTTATGTGTGTCTTCCTACTATATAGGTGGTGACTCTCAAAAGTTTTTTTCCTCACTACCTTGTGGTGGACTTGGGGTAAGTATTAGTTTATTTACTCATTTTAAATAACACAAACTTATACGACAAATCTTTGATTTATCTATTCAGTTATGTTGAGTCTGTTTCTCAGTAAAGGTTGTACTAGACTTCAGGACTGGCTACATAATTTGCAGGGCTAAGTGCCAAATGAAAATGCAGAGCGGCTTGTTCAAAACTTATTAAAAATTTGAATATGGTGGTAACATAGAATTAAACCAAGAGTGAAGCCTTTGTGACCATAAGTTCTTGTGTGACTGCACGGGTCAAACACTCATGAAGCCAGCTCTGCTAGACTTTTCTATAGCTGGAGAAACAGTAATAAGAGGGTTTAGCACAGTTTTGCAGCAGAATTCGATTTTCAATAGAATCACCACGCTGAATACATTATATTCCTGGTGAAAATGGCATAAACTTTATAAAGTGCTTTGCATCGTGAGACATTTTGATTGTGAACTCCCTAGGGACATCTTTGTCTTCAATAATTAACAAAACCTTTTGACCCAAGATATTTATACTACATTTCAAGAACAAATTTGCTTGAATCCAGCAATGTATGAAGAAAAATGTCTACGTTTTTGTGGATGATTAGACCATAGCCTATAACCTGAAATCTATTTAAATTTAATCCTTACTAGCACCAAACCATCATCCTGCAGAACTAAGTGTTAAGTTGTGCTAGGACGACGTAATTTTAGGTAAGGTTTCCAAGGACTAAGATATTTAAGTCAATTAGGTTTCCTGGGTATTGATAGGACAGAACAAAAGCAGTCACATGTATATGACGTTTTAGACAATTTTTTGCTATAACTAAGTTTTATACAGGGAAATTCCATATTGTTTTCAGTTCATTCTATCATTTTAATGAGGCCAGATTTAGTGAAAGGTAGCTTTTTGTTCCTTTACCTGTGATTCTGCCCCTTCTGGAAATAAAAATGGCAACTACAGTCGTTTGTATCTGTTTAGACTTTATATAGTTTCATAACAACTTTATAAAATAGTCATTATTATTAATACCATTTTGCAGATGAGAAACAGAAGGCTCAGAGAAGTGGTTTTCCTGAAGTCAATATAGTAAAGGGTGAAAAGCTGAAAGTATAGGGGTTCATGTGCATATCCATGTGAAGGAGTTCCAAAAGAGTTTTCTAGACCTATCCATGTTTTCATCTCTAACAAACTGGCTGCGGCCTCCCTCACACCCTGGTGCCCAGCAGTGCCGCTGTGTGGTGGATGTGGTGTGGCCCGCTTTGTTATGGCTCTCCAATGGCTTGTGCTTTTTGACTGCCAGCACAGGACAGTCAGCACCCCACCTTAATGCTCACTCATTTTTTAGCAAACCTCTTGTGGAGCCAGGAGCTTGCAAGATTATTCTAGAAAGCAGAGGGCAAATTCACTTTTAAAGTGGGTCTCATTGGCTTTTGTGCTTATTTTCTAACATCCCAAGTGGCTATTTTATAAGAATGACAGCTTACCTGCAAATTAGGCTAAGTATGAAACAAAGCAAATGACTACTTAATGGGAACAGTGATGTGGAGGAAATCAAAGCTATTTAAAGTGCTGTGGGCATCCAGCTCCAGTCATTTACAGGTACAGATGGTGCCCGACTTACGACGGTCTGACTTACAATTTTACCACTGTGCGATGGTGTAAAAGCGATATGCATTCAGTAAAAACCATACAACCATTCTGTTTTCCACTTTCAATACAGTATTCAATAAATTGCATGAGGTATTCAACATTTTATTATAAAGAAGGCTTTGTGTTAGATGACTTTGCCTACCTGGAGGCTAATGTCAATGTTCTGAGCATGTTTCAGGTAGGCTTGGCAAGGCTATGATGTTCAGTAGGCTAGGGTATTAAATGCATTTTCAACTTAATTTTTGACTTACAATGGGTTTATTGGACCTAACTGGACTGTAGGCTGAGGGGCATCTGTACATTTAGTTCATGACTCAGAGCTGAACTGAGGACAGCTCCCTAGCACTCCTCTCCGGAATCTCACCTGGGAGGCGCCTCTAACTCACTATCCACTGAACATAAAGCATCTCTACTCAACTGTTCTAAACCTATACCAAAGTAACTTCTTATTCTTTACCCAGAACTGCTTTAGTAAACTTGTATGAGTGACCAAGGTATGAATATATACTGCTGCTTCTGGCCTGTACATCCAACATAAAGCACAGTGCAGGTCATAAAATAAGTCCTTAATGTTTCCAGATACTGACCTAATCTGGACGGGGGCAGCAGTGGTGGTGGATAAATCCAGTGTGGGCAGGCAGAGGCAGGAAGAGGAAGCCCGGATTAGCTTGACTCCATCAGTGCTAGAGAAGGCTGGGGAGAGAGGTGTTGTATCAAACGGCTTGTGTGTCTTCTGGTGGTGTTTTGGTAGGTCCAAGTGAGTGTGAATGTGTGTGTGTATGTGTGCAAGCTTGAACTTGCTGATGTTCTGGCGAACCAGTTTGATTCGATCTTTTTGTTTTTGTTTTCAATTCAATGTTATAAATTGTGTTCTTAGCCATTTAAGAGCCATCTTGTACAAGTCCTAGGAGAAACTCTGGGTTCTCTGGATTTGCACTAGTCTACACTTTCACCTCCAAGACAATCCCAGGCATATTAACTATACAAAACATCCCCAGTATGAGCTTGGAGTGGCCTGACTTGGCAACATGCAGCACCCTGGGCAGCTTGGAAACTCTTGAAATGCGGAAATTGCTTTTGTCTTAAGGCACAGTTCTGGCTCAGATTGTCTAAGCTGGACCCATTGATTTCAATTCTAAAACACTTGATGATCCCCAATTATGAAAGTAAACTCTAGTCCCCAAGAGCTGCAGTCCCCAAGCCCTGGGCTGCAGCTCAGTACCAGTTGGTCTGTGGCCTATTAGGAACTGTGCTGAGTCACTGCCTGAGTTCCTGCCCAGTCTCATAGAAAAATTGGCTTCCATGAAATTTAGTAACTGAGCACACAGCAGGCGGTGAGCTGCAGGTGGGCAAGCTAAACTTCATCTGTATTTATAGCTGCTCCCCCATTGTTCATATTAACACCTGAGTTCTGCCATCCTTCCCCCCACTGCCCCTGGAAAAATTGTCTTCCAGGAAATGGATCCCTGGTGCCAAAAAGGTTGGGGACCACTGCGCTAGAGTATATAACTTCATTCTAGATGGCTTTGTTATATACATACTGCATGTTGATAGATTAATTGACTTTTGAGGAGACTACTTGGAGAATTATGAAATTAAAATTTCTACTTCTTATTAAATTTTTCCCTAAAATTGCATATAGTAATTACAGTGCTGGCCAAACAGCACAAAGGTGAATGGTATTTAAGCTGTTTTAAAATGTGCTCTCCAGAATTGCCCTTTGAGCAAAAAAATCTCAAGGTTTCCGAATTCCTTTGTGTTTGCTCCTCATTTTCTTTAGTTACTATGGCATGACTCATTTCTGATGACTATGTGATTACACTACAAGAAAATGCGCCAGTTGAAAAGAACGTTTGACCAAATCCCAGTACTTGGTCATTGCATAGTGAAAAAGATAATTCAGGGACTCTGCAAACAAAAGCCAGGGAAGGACCACTTTAGTTTTCACTCCTCAGGGTATATCACTAAAAATAGTGATCATTTTCCTGGCCATCTGACCTGCTGCTGTGTGAAGAAATCTTGAAGTCATTTCTCAGCCTTATTTTCCCCTCTTCACTTGATAGGCCACAAAAAAAAAGAAAAGAAAAAAAAGAAAGAAAGAAACCCACAAAAGCAAGGACGAGCAGGCTTTTATGATAATGTCGTCATCAGCTCCCAGCTTCAAACACTTCTGCGGCTTTTGAGTTGTCATTTATAACTTGGAACTGAATCGACCCATAATTCCCCCGATACACTTAGAGAAATTGATAACAGACTCTGCGCTTCTTTTATGGCTCGGAGGAGGCAACTCCAATCACATCACTATTGGCAGGCAATATTATTTTCTGACATGGTTGTAAAAGTATAAAGGGGCTTATGGCATTTGTTTAGATGAGGAATGGGCTCTCAAGCTGTGCTGGGGTTTACGGGACCAGATCAGTGAGAAGCAAAGGGAATATGATGTTTGCAAACAGGATATGATTTTATATAAGTTTGAGTTTCATGCTCTGTTCCCTGGGGAAAGCCCTGCAGACAGCAGAGAATTCCACTTTTATCCTACAACAGACAAGCTCCCAGTGCCAAAAGGCAGAAAAATAAACGTGGTCAATGGGTAGTGTCAGAACCTTGATTGGAAGAGGAGGAGCCGAGGAGGAGGCCGGACAATTCCCTGGGAGGAATGAGGAATTGCAGAGCATGGGCAGATTCCGGGTCTGCCTAACGTGTCGAAGTTATGCCAAAAATGAGGCTCTGGGAGGTTGAACCAAGGCACCTTCTCTGGCAGCAATTCAGTGAATCTGTGAACACAAAGCCAGCTTTTCTTTACAAACTTTTACTCTGTCCATATTCTACTTGATTACACCTAGATCAGACTTTAGGAATGTCATTTCTGTGATTTGGGAAGGGGGAGATGGGGAGAAGGGTTAGGTGATTATGAAGGGGGTATAATTTAAGGCTCATATCAATTGCTCTGATGTTTTCTGCAGGCATTTAAGTTGTATACTGACTGTACTCTACCTTCATATTACTTTTCTAGTTATTATACCACATTGATCCTTCACATTTATTCTCCCCATTAACAGTAAACAAAGTTTCAAAGGGCTGCACTGATTTTTCCTTTCTATTGGAATACCATTGAACAACTTTTATTTTATGAATAAACTTATGGACACACAGTTAAATTCAAGGGGACACAAAGGTTTGGTTAATGATACATTTTACAGCTGTGACTGAGGATGATCTTCTCTGAAACCAAACCCATATTTTAGATGACATAATATATGCCATCGGATCAGGAGTGAAGGGCGGGAAAAGGAAGATAGGCTTGTTGCCAATGACTAGGCAAGGTGCAGAATGCAAAGCCTAATGAGGCAAGACCAGTGCTC